CCTCTGAATTACTGGCCCCACATTTATTACTTAGCCCAGTCTGGCCTCATACTCTTGGTGGTCTTCCTGCTTCAGCCTGAGTACTAGGAATATATGAATGTACTATCTCATTGAGTGTTCTCTATTACTTGTTTGTATTGCTTTCCTTTGTTTTGAGTCAGGGTTTCTCTGTATAGCCTTGTCTGTCCTGGAACTCGCTCTATAAACCAGGCTGGCCTCAAACTCACAGAGATCTGCCTGCCTATGCCTCTCAACTGCTATTCATGAGCCACCACCATCTGGCTTCCTTTTAACTTCAGAAGACTGCCTCTTCCTTCACCTCAAAGCTCTCCATACCCATAGCATTGCCCATACTTTCTGCATTGAATTCGTTACCAGAGATTGGTCCAATTAAAAACCAAAACAAGGGCAGGGCAGTGGTCACCCATCCCTTTAATCCCAGCACTTGGGAGGCAGAGACAGGTGGATCTCTGTGAGTTCAAGGCTAGCCTGGTCTACAGAGGGAGTTCCAGTATTGCCAGAGCTATTACACAGAGAAACCCTATCTTGAAAAACAAACAAGAACAAAAGAAAAAAAAAATCATGCCTCAAACAATTTATATACTAACAAGCAGAATACAGTTTCTTTACTGTACTCTTCGTTCTTTGTACAAATACTGTACTGTATTCGTTCTTTGGCCATCTGATCTGGGGAGGTAGACACATTTTGAGCCAGGATCTTGTATAGCATGGGCTTAGCCTCAAACCTACTACTTAGCCAAGGATGACCTTGAGCTGCCAAGCCTCCTGCCTCCATGACTTGTACTGGATTACAGATGTGCACCTCCACACCTGGTTTATATAGTACTGAGGATTGAACCCAGGGCTTTGTATGTGATGGGTAAGCACTACCCTAACTGAGCTACATCCCCAGGCCCCATTTCCACTGACTACAGGATAGCTGATTTAGTTTGTTGAGACAGGAACTTACATGTCCCAGGCCGGTGTTGACCTCACTATGTAGCTGGGCATGACTTTGAACCCTTCAGGACCCTTCTCTGCCCGCCAGTGCTGGGACTGTGGGCTTACACTATCACACCTGGCATTAGGGTAACTGCTGTTTTCTTCTCTGACATCACCCGTTCTTTGGAAGCTTTCTGGGTTCTTTGTCTACCACCTGCTTCCCCTCTTCCCCCTTGCCTTCTTTCCTTCACAGTCTGTTCTCAGTGCCACACCACGCCCCACCCCCAGCTGATGTTGTAAACAGAGCACACTGTCTATCTTTCAGAAACTCAGCTCATGTAGAGAATGCAAAGTAAGAAGCAGAACCGTTTCTGGGACGGCCTGGGTAAACTGAGACACGTGTTGGAACAGCATGTGGTGCCTCCTGACAGTGATGCCCTGGTCAGTGTCGGTGTACACCTGGTGGTTCTCACTGTGCGAGTCTAATGCTATTTTCTGATTTGCCAAAGAATTTAAATTTAGGATTTATGATTGCGATTTCATGTGCACTCACACACACACACACACACACACACACACAAAACCCTCCATGCTCATGTATTTGTTCCCCCATCTATTTATTTAGATTTAATGACTTAATTAATTTAGATTTATTTAATTAAGTATTTGTGTGCACATATGCTGCGACAATCATGTGGAGGTCAAACAGCAACTTGCAGGATTCAGTTTCCCTTTTCATAAAGGTTGCAGGGATCAAACTCAGATTATCAGGCTTGGCAGTGAGTGCCATCACCCACAGAACCATCCCGCTGGCCTTCCATTTATTTAATATGATGGATATTAATAATTATTTTAAGTTTTCAGTAAGTTGGACAGTTATGTCACATACAGAAATTGAATTATCTCATCAATATTCATTTCCCTATTGCTTATGGCAAATGAATATTCCCCAAATGCCGTTTGCTCTTAGCTCAGTCACCTCCTGGCTTGTCTCTCACGAATACTGGCTGGTGGGCTTATAATGCAGTGCTTTTCAGCATTTCCTGGGTGTACTGGGTAAACTGAGTCAAGTGATTTTGACTTAGCACACACTTCAGAGGAAGCTGTCGTATCATGTGCACCATCTCATCTGTAAAAACACCTCCATGGGGTCAGTGGATCAGGACCCTGCTGTGCAGAAGCAGAGGCATGAGTTCTGAGGTCTGAACTCTGGTCTTCATGATTGTGTAGCTGTGCTCTTAATCCATGAGCCGTCTCTCCAGCCCTGTTTGCTAAGGATCTTGTAGGAGTAGAGAGACAAGAATAAACTCCAAATGATCTTCGTTGCTGGGTGATGAGGATTCTTTTCTGACTGTCCTTTCTATGGGGCCTCAGTGCAGATGTCCTTTTGTTTATTTTTGAGACAAGGTTTTACTGTATAGTCCAGGCTAGCCAGGAACACTGTGCAGCCCAGGCTGCTTTGCCCTGTGCCTTGCTTGTATACTCTTTAACGATTTCAGCAAAGTTCCTGGTTATGCCATTCCTCCTTTCTCAGGTGTTCATTACTTCTCCCACTTTAAAAAAGACCAGACACATCTAAATGTAGAAGCTTTAAAACGCCTTCAAAGTGCTTGATGTAACATAAGACTTTGCTTTCTTTCATTTACTTGAGACTATAGTGTGTTTATTTGGAACGTTAGACTGGTTTTAGGAACTAAACATATTACAGTCATTTAGAAAACTACAGTTGGGCCTGGTGGTGCAGGTCGGAAATTCCAGCTCCTCTAGAGTGGACTACACAATGAGTTCAAAGCCAGCCTGGGCAATTTACTGAGACCCTGTCTCCAAAAAAAGAGTTTTTTTTTTTTTTTTTTTTAATTATTTGGAAATCTCATGTCATGCTCCCTGATTATGCTCACTTCCCAGTCTTTCCATGCTCAACACCCCTCCCTCGTGAGCCCCCCCCCACAAAACAAGAAAATGAAAAAGCAAGTCTATTTTGTGTTGACCAAACACTCATGAGAATGGTCAAAATCCCAGAGGCCACCTCCTGCCCCCAAGGTGGAAGAGTCTTTCTCTGCTGCTTCTTTGCAGAAGCCATCAGCTGAGGAAAGCCACACTGTGGCTGGGGACAGGGTGGAGCTGGTTTCCCAGGAACATTAACTTGACATATATGGTTCATGGCCCTTAGCCATATATGGGTCACAAGCCCACTCATGGCCCTCAGCAGCTGTGTGGGTCATGAGCCTCTCAGCATGGCCTCAGGTGGCTAACATGCGGCTCACATCAGGATGTCCCCCCAAGGCAGTAAAGACCGAGGGCAGCAGCACAGACTGTATAAGTCCACATGAATCTCAGGCTTCAACACAGTTTGGGGCAGCAGCATGGACCACAGATACCAACATGGCCTCCAGTGGTATTTCAGATCACAGTGGAACTTCGAGTAGGTCCACTCCAGACGGTGAACCTTCCCTCATCCTAGGCCTCTGTTGTTGTCCAAACTAGGGGAATCCCATAGCCGGGCAGCAGGAACCTAGGTTTGGGCTGCATCTGCAAAAGCTCCAGGTTATTGCACACCAATCAAGGACCATGCTGGGCAATGTCCACCAGCCCTCTTCTGTAAGGAGTATGGGTTTTTCCTCCCGCCGCCAGTCTTGTCCCGCCGCCGCGCCAGCCCCAAATAATACACAGAGACTCTGTATTAGATATTATACTGTTGGCCAGTTACTACTTTCTTATTGGCTAGCTCTGTCTTAAGTATTAACCCATTTGTGTTAATCTATGTATTTCCATGTGGTCTTCTTACCGGGAGCCGGCTGCCGCATACAGCTCTCTCCAGACTCTCCATCTTTGCCCCTCCTTCCTACTTCTTCTTTCTCCTTGTCTCCTAGTCCCTCCTATCTTCCTTTCCTATTGGCCAACAGTGCTTTATTTATTAACCAGTATGAGAAACATATACAGAATGACATCTCCCATCATCTCCTCTTTTCTTTTTTCTTTTCTTTTCTTTCTTTTTTTTTTTTTTTTTTTTTTTAGGCCGAATAGATGTTTATTCAGGGAGAAATAACTTACGACCTAGACAGATGAACACCAGGAAATTCAACCAGATCCTCTCCTGTCTGAGTCACGCCAGAAAGAGAGAGCCTTTCCTGGCCCCTCCGACCTCCTTCCACAGGTCACTCCGCCCATGGCTCCACCCCCAATGGGCGTGGTCAGTGCCACAGAACTATCTCACTACACTCTCCCTCACCTGTCACCCCCCATTATGTCTCCAGTTCTGCCTCTCTCCCTAGTGCATGCACCGCTGTGTTTTTCTACCCTTCCCACCTCTCCATTACATATCTGTTTATCATGGTGACACCCAGATACCCGGTTTGATAAGACTGGGCAGTGCTTGGGGTCCAAAAAAGAGTTTTAAAGGGAACTGAAAATGTGTTGTCAGCGCTAGGGCTGTGGCTTGGTGGTAGAATAGTTGTCTAGTGTTCTCAAGGCCCTGGGTTTGATGCCCAGCACTGCTAAAATAAACAATAAGGTCTGGGAGCATATGCATAGGTTCTGTGTAAACACTACTCTTAAAACAGAGGAAGGTGTGGGAGTAGGAATGTGGGGGGAGAGGAGGGAGAAAGCTCTAAGACCCAAAAGGGACTACAATTTGTTGTCATGTTCTAAGTGTCAGGTGACCTCTCTAGTCGAGGAGCAGTTGTTTGTAAGAATTCAACTGTCCCCAGGCAGCCAGCCTAGAATATGGAGCAAATCAAGATGCAAACTAAGCCAGGTTGTTGGTGGATGTTTGCCTTTAATCCCAGCACTCAGGTGGCAAAGGCCTGCAGATCTCTGTGAGTTCAAGGCCAACCTAGTCTGCAAAGCAAGTTTCGGGGCCTCCAGGGCCACACAGTCAGATGTTCTTCCTCTCCTTCTCACTCTCCTCCTTGCTCTCCACTCCTAGCTCTACAAACAAACAAACAAACAAACAAACGAAAAAATCCAACTCCAAAGGTGGAGTTGGTGAGCATGGTTTTGTGGGGGTCACTCTGGTGGCAACAGTTAACACCACTCCTGTTTTCCCCTCAACCCTGCAGAGTAACCTGATACACTCCCTGGGGTTGAGCCACCACCTGATCGCACTAAATTTCATCATCGTCTCCTTTGGCAAGAAAAGCGCAAGCTCTTCTCCGAAGGTGAAGGTGACCGACACTGACTTTGATGGGGTGGAAGTTCGAGTGTTTGAAGGCTCTCCAAAACCCAATGAGCAACTGCTACGCAGCGTGGTCTATATCCACGGAGGAGGCTGGGCCTTGGCAAGTGCAAGTAAGTCCGAGTCACCTTCAGGTGGGTCAGTGTACTTGGCTCTGGGAGGGAGTGTTTAAAAATGGGACTGGTTCTCCTGGACCATCCTGGTTTCTCCTGTCATTGTGGCCACATGAGCAGTGCCTCTTCATCTATAAGATTATGATATAGAGAGGTTTGGCTTATTGGTCTCTCCCTCCCTCTCTCCCTCCCTCCCTCCCTCCTTCCCCCTCTCTCTCTTTCCTTTCCTCCCTCTCCCTCCCTCCCTTCCTCTCTCCTATTCTTTCTATTTGCAGTGCTAGCTATTGGAAGCAAAGCTTTGTGCTGTGAGATGATGACTCCACCAATGAGCTATAGCCCCAGTCCTTGATTTACTTTTTAGTGCTGACAGATTGCTTTGTAAATATTTTCTGAGCTAGGAAAGTAGTTTAGGTGGCAGGGTGTTGTTTTTAGCATGCACAAACTTTGGTTTGAGTCCCAGAAGCTCCTGGTTGGATCCTCAGCACTACATAAACCAGAGGTGCTGTCATACAATTGTAATCTCAGTTGGAGACAGGGGAATCCGGTGTTCAAAGCCTTCTTTAGTTACGTAGTAAGTTTGAGGCCATCCTAGGCTAGAAACCCTGGCTCTAAAATATATAAAAGTCCTGTGATATAAAAATCCTAGACATACTGTGATCCATTGATAACTAGCTTTCTGTATCAAAATAAGGTAAACTTCCACTGGGCAAGAATATGGGGAAAGTATCTGTAACTCTGGCCACCAAGCCTGATGACAGAGTCTATCCATGGGACCCACATAGTAAAGGGAGAGAACTGACTCCCAGGAGTTGACCTCTGACCTCTACATGGGGATCATGGCACGTGTGTATCCTACATAGACACACATGAATGAAAATGTGATTTTAACAAAACAGAAAGAAAAGCAATTCAAACTTGGTCTTTTCCTTTATCATATTGTTATATGAATTTTTAATGCAGAAAATGAAAGAATGTACAGCTTTCTTTTACAACTCCATACCGGTCATTTATTCTGTTACTCTTTGGTTTGTTCCCAGTTTCAGCATGTGCTCACTGTATACATGTTTTCAGTACAGATACAGCCGTGGGCAGACCTGGACCATGGGTCACTGTATCAGTTGCTTTTTCACTGCTATAACAAAATACTGAACAAGAAGCAACTTGGGAGGAAGGGAAGGAGAGAGGGAGGGAGGGAGGGATGACAGGAGGGAGAGAGGGAGGGAGGGAAGAAGAAAGGAAGAGAGAGAGGGAGGAAGAGTCCATTGTGGCAGGAAGGTTGGCCAGGAACATTAGGTGGACTGTTACACTGCATTAAATGTTAGTTGTTTTTTTCAGTCATGGAATAGTGCCATCCGTAGTCAAGATGGGTCTTCCTTACCCCATTAAAAAGTCTAGAAACTTGTCACGGACATGCCCAGAAGTAATTCGATATCCTACAAAATTGACAGCTAGTGTTAACCATTACATTTACTCTTATGTGTGCTAGAGACAGAGATTCAAAAATGAGTAAGATAGGGCATCCGCGTTAGAAAGGGCATCTGAGTCTATGGCACTGTACACTTGACAGAGGAGATGCCATTGTCCACAACATGGAGTATGGATGGAGAAGGGTGTGGTCATGAGAGTCAGTCTGGCCACTGCCCCTTGATTTTGGCTGGTGTACCCAAGGTAGAGCCAGGCTGGTGAGTGTGTGCAGGTGGGCATGCATCCCTTAGCCTGCTGGCTCTAAGGCTGCCTTGCAAGCCCATACAGAAGGGAATATTAGGCATTCTGCTGAGACAGTAAGTCTCTTTTTGTTGTTTACTTGTTTGTTGTGTACTCTAGGCTAGCTCACCTCTATTACAGGTATGTGCCTCCTTCCCACAGTTTATGTGGGGCTAGGAACAGACCAAAGCTTCATGTATGTTAGGCAAGTGCTCTACCAACTGAGCTATGACCCTATCTGATGGGATTTAAATGAAGTTGAACAATTAGAAGGAATCAATTCTTGCTAAAATAACTTTTGTTCCTATGAACATTTGAGTCCCCTTTCTAGGAAATGTGAAAACCACCTAAAATTCTTTTTCTTTTGTGTTGGCTTAAAGAGACTTCTGTATTCTTCACACTGCCGATTTCTTGAATCACAGCAAACGAGGGTGTTAAAAGTGCAAAATCTTATAATTTGAAGAAGGAAACTGCCAATTTGCTGTGATTTGCTTTGAAAGCGTATATTTGAAGAGCTCCAAAATCAGAATTAATTTAGTATATTTCATGTAACCTGTTTTCAAATAAATGTTTCGCAAGTTAAAAACATATTCAAAGCTAACCTAATGCTCATTTCCTGTTAGTTATAGTAATTACATTTTATCAGAGAATAGATTTAATTTTTGCATTTGAATGTGTCTCTGTTTGCTTACCTTTCATTCTCTCACTTTCTAATCCTTCCCCCACTCCCTCCCTCTGTCCCTGGCCCTCTCCTTCCTCCTGCCTTCCTTTCCTTACTTCCCCCTTCTTCTCCTTTGGTTTTTTGACATAGTCTCATGTATCCCTGGGTAATCTCCATGCTAGCCTTGAACTCCTGACCCTCTTGCCTCTACCTCTCTGGTACTGAGATTAGAAGCAAGTGTTCCCATGCCTGGCTCACATGCAGTTTTCAGTGTTCGGTGCTATTATTATCTTAGCTTAAAAACAGTGTGTACTCAGAAACATGTGTGAACAACCCGAATGGCCACTTTTGTAATGATCCCTCCTTCCTCTCAGAGATCAGCTACTATGATGAGCTGTGCACATCAATGGCCGAGGAGCTGAACGCCGTCATTGTTTCCATCGAGTGAGTACTTACTAATATTTGTAATATTTTTATTTTTTTTTATTTACATGTGTGTGTGTCCATGTCTATGTGTGGGTATGTGCACATGAGTGCTGGTGCCCACAGAAGCCAGAAGAGGGCATCAGATCCCCTAGAGCTGGAGTTACAGGCTTGTGAGCTGCCCAGTGTGTGCACTGGGTACAAAATCTGGTCCTTTGAAGGTAGCAAGCACTGTTCACTGCTGAGCCACTTACTTCACCTCCCATAATCACAATTGTTATGAAGAATTCACCATCTAATAACCGTGTAGTAAAATTAACATATAGGGTCAAACTTTGGGATTTCAGATGTGTGTCGCCTTGTCTGTCTTCTTAATATTTTTTTGGACTGGGTTTAATTACACATTGAATTACTTTAAGTATTTATTCATTTGCTTTTTGACTCTGCAGCACTTCCTGTTCACTTGGTGAGCGCCTTCATAGTAAGCTGTATTCCTAGTCATCTTTTTATGTAGTGTTACAAACTTTTGGAAAAGAAATGAACTAGAACTAGCAACCTGTAAGTTTGATAGTAACTTTTAAAAACTAAAAACAGTTGGGATTTTTAAAGAGACTCTTGTTCACAACCAGCACTATTTCCTTTAAGTAGGTTTCTGTAACCCTTGAAGCTAGAGCACTCTGCTCAACAAATCTTAGGCAAGAAACTAATAGTAAACCTTATAGTAGAATTGTCTCTGCTGACTCGTTTGTTTGTTTGTTTGTTTTTCGAGATAGGGTTTCTCTGTGTTGCTTTGTAGACCAGGTTGGGCCTTGAACTCACAGAGGTCAGCCTGCGGAGTACTGGGATTAAAGGTGTGTGCAATTAGAAAATAGTTGAGTAATTTGACAGCTGTTGTCATGGTAACGTCACATCTCATATCTGTCTCCTGCCAGCATTGTCCCAGTGCTTTCAGACCCTTGTGTCACCTAACTTAATCTTCCTTAGGGTTTTCCTCTTCCTTGTCAGTTTTCCTACAGAAAACTTCAGCCACTTTCCTCTGCTTTTTTATATCCTGACACCATCTTCCATGTTTGACAGATTGTACATTTGACTGCAACCGGAATTAATGCATGTGGGGATGTTGGGGATTTCATTGCTGAATCATTTGTGTTCAAAAACATCCTAACATAAACAGGAAATTAAGTTATTGGCTGTATGGAGAGTCTAAATTTCTAAATTCTCATATAAATCACCCAAGCAAATATGGCATGGTGTTTTATTATGTAATCCTAGCATTTGGCTAGAGATAGGAGAAATGCTATGAGTTCAAGGCCAATCTGGGCTATATAATCATTTCTAGGTCAATCTGGGCTGTACAAAAAAGCCCTTTGTCTCAACAAAACAAAACAAGGCTAGGGAAGCTTGCTCGAAAGACCCCTTCATATCCTTAGCACTCACAACAATAATAACAAAACAAAAACCCCTGGTATGGTAGTGCATGCTAAAATTCCAGTGCTGAGGAGGAGGAGGAGCCAGGGGGACCCTGGAGGCTTGCGAGTAAGCCAGTCTAGCTGGATGGCTGAGCTCCAGGTTCACTGAGAGACCTTGTCTTAAAAAAGAGAGCAATAGAGGAAACAGCAGTGCTAACCTCTGGTCTCCTCACACTCATTCACAGGAGCATGAAGCTGCACACACATATCTCTCTCTCTCTCTCTCTCTCTCTCTCTCTCTCTCTCTCACACACACACACACACACAGTATGTATTTTACTATTTTACAGAAGAGGAAAACGGAATCATCTCATGAGATCAGATAGCTGAGTAGGAGTCTACACGATGTGGGGACCTAATTCCCTATTGGAAACTGTAGAGGACCCTATACCTTACTGATGACCAAGCCAGGAGTAGCGAAAGCTACTAATGCCACATGACCACACAGTGAAGGCACCATCATCTTATGTGACCCAGGCTAATCCAATTCTCCCTTCCCTCTGACGTCTTTCCATTCATGGCTCACCTCTCTCTTGCTCATTGTGGATCTGAGCTCTAAGGGAATCCTTCCTGATGTAGTGTGTGTGAAGAGCTGCTCTCCTGAGGCACCCGGCAGCCCCACCCTGTGAACAGAACCACACAGGGGTCTGAGGAGGCTGCCACCTCAGATTTAACTTCAGTTACTCTGTACACCTCTGAGGCTTCTGAACCTGCAGCCAGGCCTTCCAGATCCCCGAGGACTCTTGGTGAAGTTCAGCAATGCAGGAATCATCCAATAAACTGTGTGCAGGCCTCAGCCACTGACCTGGGGGTAGAAAAAAACACTGAAGGAGCCAAGCCCTTAGAGCAAGGCCCTAGCGTGTGGTGTTGAAGAAGCTTGAAGGGCCCTTCAGTAGTTTCCGCCACCTGTAGTTACTCAAAGGCCTGGAGAAGGAAGGAACTTGGGCTTACTTCACTTGGCACCTCAAGGATCGTGTTCACTTCGGGAACTTCTTTACTTGCTCTCAGGACTTCAGTATCAGCAATGGCCAGAACACCCTGAGCTCTTCCTACACACTCTTCTCAACCTTGGAGCCTCTTGACCCCAGTGACACAGGTGTTGCTTTTGAGTCTAGGCTTATCATAGAACAGGGAAGGGGAGATAAGATGTACTCCCGATTTTTAGAAAGCTAAACCCCAGACGCAATTGCCTTCTTACTTTCCCACTGTGCTGACTACATAAAGAGCATCCAGATGCTCAACCACCCAGGGTGGAGGGTGGAAGGGGGTGGGGGGGGTATTGCAGGGGCACCTGCTTCAGGAAACTCCCTGAAACTCAGAAGAAAAATGGGTTAGGAACCATTCTGGGAGCAGAAAACAAGAGCCCTTCACCTGGCTCCAAGTGCCTTATGTACGGCTGCAGTGTGAACACTGAGTAGATCCATGCTGACTTGGGGTTAAGGACCACACAGACTGTCCAGGGACCAGTTTAGGCAACTGAGATAAAAGGGCTTCTGATGGTCTAGTAGGCCTGCCCCAAGGGATAGTGCCCCAGGATAGTTTGGATGTAGTCCAATGTATTTATAGATGACAGCATCATGTCACAGTGTCAAACAGTTGGACAACTCCTCCTGATGCAGTGAGCAGATCTGCAGGAGTAGTGCCGCCGTCACATGCCGAAAGGTCAACTTACAAAGTAGTCGGTGCACACCTGGAATCCGAGCACACTTACCGTGGACGGAAATAGTGAGAGGTAGTTAGGGCCCAGGCCTGCCACAGAAAGCCTTCTACCCTGTGCTGTAGCTGAAGGATGGCGAGCATCATGTGACCCTTGTGTTTTACCTGAAGACAGCATTTGACGGGAGCTCAGTTCTTAGTGGCTCACTCCTTTCCTTTTCCTGCTGGTCCATGAATATTGGTTTAATGTCTCTCCTGGGCTAATTGCAGTGTTAAGTTCTGGTGACATAGCAAGTTAAGAGTTTATGCCCACCCTCACAGTCTAAATAAGAAACCTCCACCCAATAATTAAAGTGTGATGAGTGTTGAGAAGCAGGTGGAGAGCAGGTGAGGCACCTGGGGGCAAGACTATCTACTGTTTGAAGGGTCAAAAAAGGTTCCTTTAAGAAAGTGGTATCTGGGGCTGGTGGTATAGCTCAGCTGCTTGCCCAGCATGTGTGAAGCCCAGGGTTTGAGTCCCAGCACCGTATGTTGATGTTCTCCAGTGATCCCATCACTGGAGTGTTGGAAGCAGAAGGATTCATTCTTGTCTACACAGTGAGTTTGCTGTCAGCCTAGGCTACATAAGACCCTGTCTTCAAGAAACAAAAGAACAAAACAAAGAAACTGAAGAGAAGTAATGTCAGAACAGAGCCCCTTAAGGAAAAATGGGACTTGGCTAGACAGGATACCAAGGTTGTGGAAGACTACAGTGGCGGGAGGAGAGGGCTTTTGGAGGGAAAGTGCAAGTGAAGGACCTGGTCCCATCAAGGAAAGCAAGCAGAGGATCCTGTGGATCTCCAGGAATGGGGTGGATGCTGGTTTCTCTCAAGGCCTCCCCTTCCCTGGGCAGAGAGAATGTACTCTCAGCTGCACCTTATCTTTAGTGGCCCTCCCTTGGGGTAGGGGTGGGGTGGCATCATGGCTTTGCTTCTTGTGCACTGTGGTTTTAGTGAAGATGATGTCTCTGGAAGCATGGACCAGGGCAGCCTGGAAATGAATCATCCTGTGTGATATAAGCACCAAAGATAGGAATTCCTACAAATGTGTTGCCTATGCTGGCCGGCAGGGGTTAGGGGCATGCCTGATGGCTAACTTGCATAAAGGCCTTTAGTTTTAAAAAGTAGGTAAATCCTGAACCTACTGCTTTGTGCCTTTTAGCAGTTATCGAATGTCAATTGAACATTACGTATCTGGTAATCTTATATCTAATTTGCATGGTCATATTCTTATTCACATAACCTAGGACCATCTTGTTTTACATTTAACCTCTGTTGTTTAGTAAAACACAAAATGAAGACCATAAGATATAAGGGACAAGAGAGATTCATACCTTTCTTTCAAAGAAGCAGTATGACATAATTTTGTTAGTCGGGATTCTCTAAATGATATGTGCTTGTGTGTATAAATGTATATTCTACAAGGGATTTATCATACCACCTTTTTTTTATATCACCCTTTTTGATGTGGAAAACTTTCAAGTTTTTGCTTTTAATTAAATAATTATTTTTTTCTACATTTATGCTCCATTTTACAAAGCTGTTTTAAACCACATCCCATTCCACCAGATATCAGGTGAGAACTCAAGGCTTTGCAGAGCTGTAGGTTCCTGTTGCAAATGTGTCACACAAGATGTTGATGTGCTCGGGCTTCGATGGTCACCAGGGTATAAGCACTGGAGACTTCAGGTCCTTGTTTTTATTGCCCATGAAATTTTGGGTTACAGACTTCCAAAGACATAGTGCTCTAATGGGACGCCTCCCGGTGCCCATGTGCTTAAGTAGCTTTAGGGATACATGACCTAAAAGCCACATGGTCATCTTACTGGTAAGTATGCCCCTCTTTGTCCTCTTCCTC